AGGTTAGAGTAAGTTATAATTAGTACACGCTGCCCTGTCAACTAATTAAATATAATAAAAAGCTTTCTGTGAGTTTAATGCTAATATGGTGTAACTACAACAGTTCTGAATGCACAGTGTATGTATTACAGGTTTCAGTATGTGCCCCCCCACCTTCTATGACCTAAATTCTCAGGTTAAACCTATCATATGAGTACTGAGCAGGCAGTGCCAAAGACAACTAAATACAAGTCAACATCAATGCAGTTCTGTACAATTTTAGAGGCACTGCATCAGCCTCTGAGGGCAGGGGTGGAAGGAAGGAGAAGAAAAAGCCAGCTAGTTTCTTGCCTCCCCTTTTCTTCCTCTTCCCTTCAGGAGGCACCCCTGCTCAAATTCTCCCACTCATGAGACTTTCACTACTCTGAGCCACTTTCCTTCTGTTTGTAAAGAAAAACATGGCTGAGATTTCAAAGCCACTTCCAACCCCATCTCTTTGTTAGTCTGTGTGGCATCCTGGGTAGAGAGGCACCGAGAACAACATCCCGGTTTGCACAACTCTGAGGCAAGAGCTGTCAGGAAGCAAGAGTTATGCCATACAACCACTTGTTACTCAGGGGAGGAAGGAAAATTGCTTGGGAGGCTCAGAGCAGGGCAAAAGTGACAATGGAAACCAGGTAATGCTCCAGCACTTGCATAGCTCTGACCCTTCTAACTATCTGGAAGACTTTTAAACACATTATGAAAAGGTGAAGAGCAGAAGCCAGGCTTTAGATCAGCATGGACATTGGAAGTTACAGCTCTAGCTAGTCAGTTGTGCCCACTGCATTTTTCTGACTTTCTACTAACATTCCTCTTTGCCAGTCCCATCCCTGAAAATATTCAAGGTCTGGCTGGACTAGGCTCTGAGCAACCTGGTCTAGTGGAAGGTGTCCCTGCTCATTGCAGCAGGGTTAGACTGGAAGACCTTTAAAGGTCCCTTCCAATCTCAACCATTCTATGACTCTATGTAATGTAGGTACTAATAATTCCCAAAATAAATATATAATTAATTGAACAAAAATGTAGTCTAAAAGAACCAATTAAAATGATGAAAATCTTTAATTTTATTTAAGTATAATTGTACGGACACGTGTATATACAAATACAGATCTTATGGGGCAGGGATTTTGGGTGGGGATTTTTTTAACATTTTCTTTTAAGTTTATATAATGTAAGCATTTCAAAACCAGCACTCAATGAATAAGTGCAAAGAAACTGCAAAGCAGGGCAGTACAAGCACAGGACCACACTGAGCTGGACTTTCATACCCAGATGCATACACAATGAGTGTCTTCAATGGGGTGTCAAGAGTAAGCATGGTAAGCGGATTTCGCAGACTCATGGGTAACCTCCAACATGCCAGCATCTATTAAACTGTACAGACAACGGCAGCAAGCCTATTGTAGGGAGATTTGTCTCACATCCGAGAAGCTCGAGGGCGAATGCATGGGAAAAACTCAGTGATGCCAGACCAGAAACAGATCTGCCCATTCACAGCTCCAAATTAAAAAAAGGAGGAGGGTGGGAGAGGAGGAAGGGCAGGAAGAGGGGAGAGAAGTGTAGAGAGTTGTACATTAAAACTGGTGATTACAAAATCCAAGTGTAATGAAAAGAGGGGAAGAGTTAACACTCTAAACCTCTGAAAGTGACTGAACCATTGCTCTCACAAGGCAACGGATTAAGTTCAGTTTTGAGGGTTAGGGGTGGGAATCAACAGATACAAATACAACCATTTTCCTTCCACAGTTATAGAGGAAAGGAAACAATCTATTCAACTACTCTCAGTACTTCCCAAGTTTGTTTCTAGTTCTTTTGGAACCAAGTACATACATATATCGCACATGACACTGGCAAGATCCTTTCTGGAAAAAACTATTCATGGGAACAAAACCAGAAGGAAAACAGGAGGGAAAAAATACAAACAAAAAAAGAACAAGCAAACAAAAAAACAGAAAAGTTGTTATATCCCCAAAGCCTTTTTAGAAACAAATATGATACAAAAGAACAAAAACTAACACAGAAACCACAAGGCTCCAACATCAGACCTTTAAACACTAAGGACAAAACATTGATCATCAAAATTCATGTTGTTCCAGGTCTTGACATTGTGAAGTCTTGCAACAGATGAATGATTTTCAAAGATGAGTCCTGTATGCTGCAGTGTCATGGCCACTTGTCTCTCAGTTCTCAGCCATGATCACACTTGATGCTTCAAAGCTCTGTCTTGTAATCAACACGTGATTTTAATATCCTGAAAGTCTATTGTTCTCACTTACAAAAGACATAAGAATCAAATTAATACTTTATTATCAAACACTATATACAACAGAGGTTGCTAATAATACAGAATTTAAAGAACATAGCTTTAAGTTTTACTTGTCTTTCCTTCGCCATCCAAGTAAGTACAGTACAAAACAATATTCTAAACTAACACGAAATGTTACCTTGTCTATTGAAGGATACACAGTATCCACTAAACTGACTGATCCCTATTTTGCCTGCTTCACATTGCAATGCCCTTGGCAGCCAGGAGTGCAGGTCATGGGCATAAGCAAGCTGCCTAGGCTGAGGGAGAATCAGTACCTCAGACTTGAGCAGGGGCAGATAAAGGGGAAGGGAGCAAAAATCTCCTTAATTTGCAGCAATATCTGCATTTTAAACATTCAGAGATTTGCAATGCAACACAACATTTATATATTTGGTATGACTGGGATTGCCTAATGCCATCAAGTATCAAGCTGGCAGTGCCTGGTATGCTGCTCCCAGCCATGCCACGCCAGGCAGCATGGGGATCTGCCTTGCAGATGCATCACTTGTGTTGCCCCCCACCTACCCAGCAAGGCTCTGTGACAACACAAAGGGGTGAGTTTCACCAGGAGTAACACCAGTGACAATTCTTTGCTGTGAATAAATGTATGTCTTCAACTTCAACATCATTCAGAGACAAAGGATGACAAATGAAGTCACCATTTCTACATTAAATTGGCACTACTGGTATGACTGCCCTGCCTATGAATCATTTTAATATGGTTACACATCATGCAATATTATCTGTACTCTGGTTACTAATCCTTTTGATAAGGTGCATTTTGAATAAGCTCACCTCATCCAAAGATCTTTAATTCCCACCTACAGGAAGTATTAGTGTGTGTACCAAGCACATACAGATTAAAGAGAGCAAAGTACCAGACAGCTTGTAATGAGATGATGACTTCCCTAACTGTTTGGACTGCATATCTTTATTCTGTGCACTTCACACTAGAGCAAATTTCCTGCATTCCTCCTGTAAGTACAAGCCCTGTACTAATAAACATGTATGATATCAGGCAAGCCCAAGTCATAGCTTAGCATGCATAAAACCTCCCTTTACATCTTAAATTTAGTTCCCTCCCCTCCTGCTTCAATTTCTGGAAAGCTTTTCTTCATTTAAAAAAAAAAAAAAAGCCCACGAAGTGCTGTCCATTGATGGCATCACTCAACTTTGTTACAGCAGACTTTTTCTTCATAATTAATACACAAAAATCTTATTTTGTTTCAATGCACTCCGTGTTTTGTTTCACACTGAATGTAATTACCAGTTTTTGTTAGAAAAGCTCTGTTTCTGTCTGGGTCTGATATTTCACTGATTATGCTTAGCAGTCCAAGTGTCATGGCAGCCTAGCCAAAAAATACCCCAAAGCTTGCACTTCCTGGCAAATTAAGTTTTAAAGTTTCATATTAGCCAAGGCTCACATTCCTTAAACAGGGTCACTCCTAACTCCATCAAACAAGACAGTCCCATTTCCTAATTGCATCAAGGGTTACCACTTCTCTCACATGTTTAAATAGGACAAGCATATATACTCACTCTCAGCATAAAGTATATCTAAATAATGTATTTTCTATTCTAGTGGATTTTTAAAAAAATATTTTGTTAAGTCTTTGGGAGCCCCCTAGTTTATCTCTGACTGATAAACACATTTCCTCTACTCAACAAACTGTGCTGGAAGGGGAAAAGATAAAAAAATCAACACGAATTCATATTCCACACTTCTTTTCTTTCTCCCCACCAAACAATGCTATTAGACTGCCCTGTTTTTTTCTACACGTGGTTTATTCCCATGACTGAGGAACTTGCAGGAGAGACAAATCGAGAGCACACTGGAAATCCCGTGTCCCAAACACGTTTCTTCTGGCCACCGATGTCCCCTTTTAGCATGTATTAACACCCAGAGCAGCATCCAAGGCTATCAGCTACTAAGTCAGCGCTGGGGAAGGTCACTTTATTCTCAAAAGTGCCTCTGCATTTCAAGAAAAAAATTGTAGCACCACGGTGATTTGTTTTAAAATAAAATAATCCGGTGTGCATTATCCCCTTAAAACGAAATAACAGAGGCACTCACACCCCCAGTGAAGTTTCCTAAATCTGACCTTGCCTGCTGTGCTAACATTCCTAAATACTAACTTCTTCCTCTCACCAAGGACCGCATTTCTACTTGTGAGCACAAATTTTACTGTCAAAGATGTTTCAAGACAGTACTATAGGAAACATCATCTTTCCCTTACAGAAGCCTGTTCATTTAGAAACTCCTGGAGGAAATGGTGTTATATCTATTCTTAATATTTCCCCTCCAGTCCTGACATGGTGACACGATGCCTTGCATGATCATCTTACAGTGTTGAATGAGAAGGCATAAATATTGTATCACAGAGAAAGACTCTTCCAGGCTTTCACTCACTTTCCTTATCCCTCACTGCATCTGCCACTACTCTTTCTTGTTCATATACGGATGACACAGTGAGCTAACAGAGGTGACTTCTTAAAAGGAGAATGCAGAGGAAAATAAGAATCACTAGTGTCACTATTATAGTTTGGCATTTTCATTTGGAGTCCTTTTATTTATATGGAGGGGTTAAGAAAGTCACAACGTAGGTAGGGGCGGGTGCTGAAGCTAGTTATCCCCTTCAAATTTTTGCTGAGTTCAGGCTAAAAGGGAGAAGAAAAGGGAAAAATAACAATTTGACATCTGCAAAAACAATAAAGTCCCTTTCCTGGGATGAGCAGTTATATGGATCTTTGATGTTCCAAGACCCTGGTATTTTCTGCGACAGGTTGCCAAAGCATAATGTGCTATAATATCAAAAGCATTGCCAGGAGGAACAATAGAGTTGCCAAAAGCCGGCTGGGTATCCTTGGTGTCTGTGCCGCATTCTCACCACGGGATGGCTCGGCTGACTCATGTACGGTATCATCTGTTCAAACAGAAAGCATACATTCCAATGAGATTTTGCATCCTTAATAAACTCTCACTGAGCCGACAACTGTAAGTAGATTTCAGTGCCTTTATGAAACAGGGCAATGAACCTTGTGCTGTCATTGACTTTCACAAGCGTGTAATACCTCATTATGTAACCAACTTGGGGCCAAGTCCTGCATTTCTACTGGCAAAACTCCCATTGAAGACCAGAGGAGCAGAAAGTTAAGTCTGATTTCAGCAGATTGAAGAATGAAAGATTCCTCTTCCAATAAAACACTGTAGCTCTAGCTTTGGATGGCTCATTAGATAGCAATGTCAGTAGGGAGGCAGCTAAACAAAACCACCTGACTTTCAAAAGGGTTGCACATGCTCAGAATTAAGTTTGCAGTTAATCCCCTTACTCAGTTACAGATTTTGGCTTCTGAATCTGAAACGACAGCCTGTAAACCCAAGCATATACTACCCTTCCACACATAAAATTTCCACTGATGTATACTGTATCTGGAGATGCGCAGGAGATGTAAGATCATTCCCCCTTTCTTGAAACTGAATTTTAAAGGCTAACTCTTGACAATCACCAATTTTATAGAATACATACTCAGTCTAGAAAACCTCATTACCTTTTACAGTACACAAAATAGAGATTTACATATATGCTGCTAGAACGAATGAAAAAAGAACCAGCTGAGTTGGCAAAACATGCTTATACATTAGTGGCAGAAGAGAACATGGTAGCAAATACTAAATGAGTGATACATAATAAAGCTCGGTTTAGTTTTCATAAATTAAAGATCAGCCTAAAAGCAACATAAAAAAAGGTAGGCAAAGTCAAATTCAACATCGGTGTTGTTATAGTGGTGGTATTTTTCTCTGCAAAGCCCTCCATATATACAATTATCTAATTTGGCTCTTTAAAAAGCAATCTGTCTGAGGCTTGCCATAAAAAGTAAGCTCTGGGTTTGAATTTTCATAGTACTAAAGGAAGTAGCTTCAAAATGTATTTGTAAGTTTAAAGAGTGCCTAAGTTTCCAGCAAAATTAATAGCATCTCACTACTTAGCGTAATGACCTCCTTCATTTTATAAGAGATGTCAACATATCTATGATGTATTTGTCTCTTTAGTTCCCATCCCAATAAATTGTACTGCCAGGACTACACCGGGTGAGAGCTGTGCAATTCCAACTAGAGGCACTAAGGAAAGCAGGAGTCAGGAGACTGGGATACCATGCTGCTTTGGCATGGTTCCTTTCATGTTACCTAGCTTTAGCTCCCACCCTTTCATATCCTTCACACCTAACGCAAAAGCAGGTAGAGCACTTAGCATAATTTGGGTTAATAGGCTCTTCAGCTGCAGCTCAGTTACACAGCAAGATGCACAGCAAACTGAATTAGCAATTTATCACATGTACTTTTTCCAGCACTAACTGATGCTAAATCACATCAGTCTTATCAACATATTTTAGTGTTGCTGAGGGCGAAAGTATGAAGACAAGCACTGATTAGCTGTAAATACATTTCAATTTGTAAGAAAGGGACATTGTCTCTTCTCAGTGGTGCCAAGCAATAGAACAAGAGGTAACAGGCAGAAACTGATGTACAGGAAGTTCCACCTGAACATGAGGAATGACTTCCCTACTGTGTGGGTGACCGCACACTGGAACTGGATGCACAGAGAGGTTCTGGAGTCTCCTTTCCTGATACCCAAAAGCTATTTGTACACAATCATGAGTAACATGCTCCAGGTGACCTGCTTGGGCTCTATATGACTCCCAGTGGTCTCTTCCAACTTTACCCATTCTGGGATGTCAGTGGGAAAGACTGGTTGGATTGACTTAAATTGCAGCTCCACATCATGTACAGCAGGGAGACTCTCCCAGGCACACTGGCCCTAAATGAGGCCCTAATATTTTTTGTCCTGAATTATTCCAAAGGAATCTAAAAATTTCAGTGAATGATGGTTACTGAAAAGTGCCTGTTTCAGTGGTTGTCCACACCAAATGCTGTTTCACATTTCACTTCTGAGTTACAGCCTTGTACTTTGGTGACACTGCCATAAGAATACAGTACTTCACAAAAGCTTGCTTCCCAATTAAAACATATTCTAAGAAGGTACAGGGAAGGAATACCCCTGCTCCAACTGTCAGTTCTACCATCTTTTATATATTTAGAGTCAGCTCTTCCCAATTTGGAAACATTTACTCACTGCTGATGAAGTAAAACTATGGAGAAGAATGATTTGCATTACCTTCTATCTCTTGCATCATCAATAGAATTGCAAATAAGTCTGAATTTGCAACACTGACTGTCAACAGTTTTGTCCTAATTATATCCGTGAGTCAGCAATAAAACACAATAGAGCAGAACTAGTGCAGAGCAGTAATAAATCCTCATTCTCTTTGACTATCAGATACTGCCACAACTGGAACACTGGCTACCGATAAAAAAATCTCAAGGAAGGAGCACTAAGCTAAAAAGATGACTTCTCTTAAATGCAAAATACAGAGATGCCATTTTTATAAATCCATTCTTCACAGAAGAATTAATTTCCATGTAACACTAAGGGGTTCCTTTAGAGAAGTCATCTGGGGTTTCTGTCAATGCTGTTGCAAGGTTTCTGCACTCATATATTAGAACACATGATTAATTTGTGGTCATGAAAATCACTTAACAAATATGATTTTCCTTGGAGATACAGTTATAACTGCACAGTCTTTAAGGCTTGGGGAAAAGGTTTTGCTTCGTTTTAAACACTGAAGGCAAGTGATGAACAAGACAAAATTCCTGAGCAGAATCTTGAAATTCACCACTAAAGACTGGGAATGCCAGCAGTAACTACAAGAAAATTATTCTGACAGACATGAATTCTCCAGATCACACTGTTTTACAACATATGCTTCAGGTATAACTTTCTGAAATGCACAACTGCAATTTTTGTTTATGGACTTTTTTATTTTTATTATTAAGGAGGAAGAGAAGGAGTGAATTTCATCACTTCTAAAAGAAGTGTGATCGCTATAGACTAGCTTCGTACAAATTTCTGGACAAACCCAGTGAAAATACAAGCGTTCAAAAATTACACAAATGGTGATTTTTAAAAGAAAAATGACAGTAAGTAATCTGCTGAACATGACTCTCCTGCCTCCCAATTCTTCTGTCTACTGTGGAAGAAGACAGTGGCAGGCTAGAGGAGAGCACAGAAGCAGAAAATGCATGTCAGAGGCATGTAAATTAGTACACAACACAGAACACATGCAACAAGATCCACCAAGGCAGCAGCAATCCTAACAGGCTAATAACAGAAAAGTGTGACAGCAGTTGGCAGATCTGGGAATGACTGATTATCTAATGGTGACTGGTCCAATTAATAATGCAAATATGCACTGATGTCAGGAGTGGGAATTTTTCATACCAAACCTTCTCATTAAAGCTATTATTTCTCCCTGGTAACACAAACAGTATTTCATCTCAGACTGCAGGATGCTCTTTGTTTGATTTTGGTTCCCTGGTTTGCCTGCTGCTTTCTAATGATGTGCTTTTGTGATGATGCTAGCTAGTTATAGCCATTCAATGGGAAGTGAGCAGCACTGCTGAAGAAAAAATCAGCAAGTTCACTAAAATCAGGCATTTATTACTCAGATGATCTGTTGCAAACCAGTAACAGGAGAAATACACATTAATTAGACTGTGTTCATCAAATCACAAAATGTAAATAAGTGCATTGAGCTTCTAGATTCATAGGTAACAGGGACATTGAAAGTACATCCCACTGCCTCCAGTAGAATGCTGTTAATAAATGTGTAAGTGTATCTAGTGTAAATGCATTCTCCTTACAATTAGATTCACTTAGAGAACATCTTTGATTCTCAAAGACCAAATTTTAAGGAAATTTCTAAAAATTAAAGAAAAATAGTGAATTCTACTGTTGATGTGTAGGTACATCATTCAATCTGGATAACGTCTGAAAGCCTTGTTTATATTTCTGTATAAATAATTAATTTTAATTAAAGGAACTGCAAAAAACAGCAAAAAATTAGTAAGTTGCTTCATACTCAAGGAGAGAATCTCTTTCAAATAGCATAAGAGCAAAAAAATCCTGGTAATCTGTTCTTTAGGGTATGTACTCAATGGTATAAGTGCAATATTTTCTAGCATAATTTATGTAACCATATATTTTAATTATTGATGCTTTAATACAACAACGTGTGAGCAGTGTGTAGATACATACAAAACAAACAGGTAATACCACTATTAAAAATACTTTTCCTACATATCCACCTAATTTTAATCTTATGAACAATGCCATTTAAATTCTTGGGATTACTCACACCCCTAGAATTAAACATCCTTCTATCTGTCATAAACTCAAGCCACACAAACAACACACATGCAGTTTCCAGACAGAGACATGTCAGCTTGATTGATCATGGAGGTTAATGTAACTTTGCCCTGGGCAGATGAAGGGCTTCATCATAGCAAGCACCCTTATTCTTAAGGCAGTGACTTGCAAAAAAAAATAAAAATAAAAATATAAAAAAAAAAAACACCAAAAAACAGGCAGAAAACCCCCCTAGAACTTAAGTTTGCTTCAATAAAAACAAAGTTTATACTCTGTCAGTTGCATGCCTTTGTCATCAGCAGTAAATAAGCAGTGGTTCTGTTTTTCTGAAAGCCTTTTGAAACCACATAATAAATGATGTGTGCCCATTAACTTAATTTCTAAAACTTTGGGCCCGGTTAGTAAATACAGTATTTTGCCAATATGCTGGGTGTTTGGCTTGGATGAGCCAGTAACTTTATGATAATGGTGAAAATTTTACACTGGCACACACAGCATTTTACTAAACCATGTCACTCAAAAAGCAAACGAAGCAACATTTTTCCTCCCCTGCATTAAACAAGGATACAGAAAATATACAATAAGCTATATTAGTACTGCCAGAAAAGTGCAAAAGCAGAGCAGTTGTACCATGCAAAGCATGCAGAGAGAAGAGGAAAAAAAGTACTGAAGCACCAGAAAGATACATACATTTGTTAAAAGAGATTCTCTAAGCATACTAACCTGCTGGTTCTAATGAATTTTCTACTTTGTCGTTAACATCGAAAACACGATCATGAACACCTATAGTTTTCATACAGCTGTCTATAACGAAAATAGAAATAACAGCCAAATATGTTAGTGAGATACCCTTAAACTCCCCACTTTTCTTTTTTCCTCTCTTTTTTTCTCTCTAGTTACTATATATAGTTAAGAATATTCATATTTTAAAGTCTCTGGCATTTGTCCAAATGCCAGTATAGTCTCCCATTTGTACACAGTTCAAGAAACAACAAGTTAGCAACTGCCATGTAATTAAAACAAAGCTTTATGAAGAATGATAACACAAATGCTGCTGTATGTACAGAACAGATACACAAGATTTAACAGCAAAAAAAAGATTTACGCTGTTTCCTAGACCACACGGTAAAGCATGTGCTACGAAGCCACCCTCAAAAGCTTAATCTGAAGAACTTACTTGCTGGTCGCACAAAGACCTTAAGCTTTAGGCAGGATCTCCTTCCATTATCTGGGATCGCAGAAGCTGTAAAATGAAGAAAAAGGAAAGACAAGTGGAGAAGTAAGAGAGTGGAAATACAAATTATTTGTTGTGCTAAATTAAAATATCTCTTGTCTCCCCTTCATCAGAAGGGCTGGACACATTTCCATCTCTGCAGGTAAGGACTTCAAGTGCACAAAGTAGCTTTATTATGCAAAAGCAGGAAAGAACTGCAGATTTTATTCTAATTAATTTTTTAAAAAATATTTTACATGGAAGAAGTGAAGCACATATTCAATGCTTCATTATCTCCGTTCACTTTTCCACCCTTTTTTTTCAAAAGCTTTTTTAATATCGTTTTTGCTCTAATACACATGTGCACTCTGAAAAAAATAACACTTTGGGATATATAATATCACTTAGAGAAAAGCTGCTCTTGAAACATTGAGCCATAGGCTTCAGCAACACAAGAACGGATGAAAAAAGGGATGAGAAATGAAGAAAACAAACAAAAAACTCTAAAATTACACCAAAGGTGACAATGATAAAAATGGAACTACGTATATACTGCCAGAAAAGCTGAAATACACACCATTAAATTCTACAGCAGTCAGTCTTCATATGCATCTGCCTTTGTTGAGAAAATATTTCTCTCGCTTGAGTCAGAACGTGATTCCCATGTTATCCAACCAATAAACCAAAATCAGTTTATTCCTTCTTTCTGCCCTCCCTCATAATTTCCCATTTAAAGTATTTGATTTTAAGAATACTTACTGTATTAGGAGAAAAACTGTAAGTGGAAACATGTCTAGCCCTAATGCAAAAGTTCACACACAAAGATTAGTGTCAGCACCTACTTATTTCCCAGGAAAAAGTGTTGTTGTGAAAGCTTTCTTTCTAGAACCATTCCTGCCTTGAAATAAATGATCATAGGGGAATATGTCTGTCTGTCACCACCGACTGGACTGCTTGTGTATTGTCTGCCAATTTGAACATCCTAGTAACTTTCTTCCATGTCTGTAATTTTGCAATTGTACCTTGTCCCACAGTTCAACATGCACACTGGCAAACAAGCAACTTGACTTAGACTTGCAGATTTTTACAGTGAAAGACCATTCACTTTCTTTTTTCCCTTGCAAAAACCTTCAAAACCTCTAGTTTAAAACCTGCCTGAAGCAGAATAACGTTCATTTCATTGCATTCAAAAAGCTGTGTATTATGCCGAAACAAGTTGCCTTTTGTATCAAGTGGCAACTACTGGAAGCTGCCCTGAACAATAAAAGATGATTGGGTTAGCAAGATGCTAGCTTGTTTTGTTTATCCTTATTTCATCCATTTTTATTAATTCTGTCCCTGTCTGTGACAAATAACTAAAACTTTTTTTATACACAGACATATGAATGCAAACCCTTTACCTTCATACTGAGCTCACACTTACAGGACTCCTCAACCAATTTGAAATAAATTCCCTACAGTCTTTGATGCTGTGCTTCCAAGGCAGGCGTCAGGTTTTTCCTAGAACTTAGCAAGAAGAACTAGCAAACTCTGTACAAAGACACACAACAAAAGTAAAGAATCTGATACAGCTAATGTTGTGGTTCTGCATCTTGAAAGTTCTCAAAAAATTGTTCCACTCTTTTAGTCAAAAGACAAAAGTGTGTAGAAACAATGCTTCCACCTTTACAATACCAAGCAGCTAAGAAGTAACAGCTGGTTTTGCTATAGGGTCTTTCTAAATCAAAGTCAGAAAACCTCCCTTTATTGACATTTACAGTAACTTGTGTGTTATTTAGGGCACAGTATTTGCAGTCTGTGGCTATATTCAGGAAATTGTGCCCTTTCTGTGGCCCTCATTGAACATATGCAACTGGCTAAATGCTTTGTTAAGACTAAACAGGCAGTTGCAGACTTCTCAAAAGATAAGAATGCTATAGTCTTACCAAATTACTAGCATAAAGATGGAAATAATACTTGCAACATTATACAAAATAGAATCCTTACAGTAAATTTATCACTAACAGATCTTTTTCTGTCCAGAAATTGTATCAGAAGTGCATTCTGACACACATTTATTTAAAGGCAAGTTTTTGCTTTGATAGTTACATGCTGTTGCTTATATCCATAAAAAAAGCATTTTTATTCACTGCTGTTCATTAGAATGCTCTGTTAGTCAGTGACTAACTATGATACCACTGACTAGCTAGGAGTTAATAATTTTCTATCTGGAAAAACAGAAGATTTATGCTTTTTACATTTATGTTCGTATGTATACATAATATCTGCACAAGGGAGCAAACAACAGCAAATGACTGGCCATGTTCACTGGAAGAAAAATGTTAAATCCATTAACTGTTGAAATCTTCTTCCACCAGTCTTCACACTGGTTTGCAACTACAGAGTGTATCATGAACTGCAGTCCTTTTGCAACCACAGTGGTTGCACTTAAATCATCATGCCAGAAACTGACACAGTTTTAGAGAGAAGTATGAAAAAGTGCTTTCTCCTTTTCCAGGAAAATTATGTATTGTCAATATTTGCAATAAACTCAGAAAGATTCCTCTTTAATCAGTGTTTTACTTCAGAAGGAATAATAATGAATTTAAAAAAGAAAATCAAGTAGCATTTTTCAGCTCTTACATCTGCCTCAACAACCAAGACCAAGGTGGTGAAAGGGTACACTGCAACCTCTTTGGCCTTACTGTGAAATTAAGTACTGTTTGCCAAGATGCATGACTGTAATCAAATATTTTATCTTCCTTTCTTTTTCTGCCACCCTTCCTCCTTCTCCCTTCTCCTTTTCATCTCAAAAGAAAAAACACGCACCAGTGACAGTTTTTGTCTTAAGACCAGATGTATCACTCACAAGGAAGAGTCAGGAAAGGAGAACGAGAACTGCTCTTTGTCAGCTAGGATCTGTTAGGTGGTGCAAAGAGAAATTTAATTCTCCTTCTTGTACAAAACCAGGTTAGCCCCCCAGGTTTTGCTATAAGGCTTTTTCATTTGCCCATTTTAAAGACGGTATTAGCTATAAAATAGAGGCCAGTTCTGAGAGCAGGAAGCCTCTGATGCTAATAGAACCTGTCCCAAGTAACACTTTCCATTCAAAAAACCAGAATTCCCAAGGGGAAAAAAAGGCAATTGAAACCTTGCTGCACAACAAAAAGAAACCCTTGAAAAAAATCCCTTATAAGGAGCAAAGGAAGTTATATGTTCTTTTTTTTCACGAATGATATTAGACTAGAAGAGATCTGACTGGTTTAGTTTGTGTCAGGAAGAATCACAATTGAAAACACAAGGGAAACTCTGCAGTGTTGCTCGTTTCTGTATCTCATTGCAATTTCAATTTTTTTATTCAATGATTGCAGTAAGCTGCAGATAGAGAAGAAGAAAGTAACATAAACAGAAAACACTTATGCAATTTAATCTACTATGCTAAATCCCAAAAACTTTTGAAAGGAATCACCAAGATATGACCCAATCAGCATACAAAATAAGCTAATTAAATAGCAAATGTACTAAAAAAACCCAATCAACCAACCAACAAACAAGCCTAAAAACAAAAAAAAAAAACCCAAACCACAAAAAAAAAACCAAAACCCCCAAAAAACCTTACCAAAATAATCCACAAACCTCTCTAAAATTTCAAAAGTAACTTGGTTATCAGGACCTGCTAGTGATGTGACAAATGCTGTAATTAAGCATTCCCTTTCCTAAGACAGGCAGCTGTTTGGCTGACAACTACCTGAGGCTCAGTTTCTAACCTGAGAGCAAGTTCTCAGGATGCTGCATATAAAAAGTATCTCAACCATGCTATTTACTGATATCGACATGTAATAGGTAAATCTCTGCTTGCCTCCTCATTCATTCTTAGCTTTCTAATTACAGGATTGTACCTTTTCCTAAAACATAAATCCTGATATAGAGCATAAATGCCATTCAAATCCACCTTTAGCATTACCATTACATTTAACATTCAAGGCACAAGCCACTGTGGGCCCTGTTAGACAGCAAAACTAGTTCAGTGTAGAAATAGCTCTCCATTTATCTAAGTCACTCAGACAGCACCCTTGTTTGGAATGGGGGACACTGGTAAAGAAGCATCCTTTCCTTATGCACAAATCCAATGCCCTCACTGCACCTGTGCAGATACTCTACAGACGTTACTATTTTGTATTTCTATTACCAATTTCTATTACTAGCTCGCTTGGAGTATTCTCTGCAGGATTATAAAGCAGTGCTCATGAAACAGAGACAAGTCCGTTCTCACTGAATTTCTGAAAATGTGATGAATGTTTTCTTCTTCTCTCTCTCTGCTAAGAAATTCAGCAAACAAGGTTTCCTTGTAGAGAAGAACTTAGAAATCACACCATGATCTCACCTCAGCTCATTGCACACATACTACTACCAGCAGACCCTGTTACACAAATTCTGGCACTGGTAAGTGGTTCCCAGCCACAAGCACTGAGGAGAAGTATTGTTTCAGTCTGGGAAGCTAATAGAGGATTAATTTTGAATTTCTGTCCAGGATACTAAATCAAGACGCCACATGCACACAGCTTGAGTAAACACCTAACACTTACTGCCCAGTCAAAAGGGCTGCACATGCAGCTTCTGTAATCACCTGGAGAAACACCACAAAGAGAGAACCTGCAGTAACCCCATACACAGGATGCTGCATGCTGTAAATCAGAAACTCATGTTTACACAGTCCTTGCACTCTCTTAGTCCTATAAGTTACTGACAATTTCTTCAGGTGAAAATATTTATAGCTGTGATTTTCCTCTAGCCCTTACAGGCACAATAAAACTCCCATTAGTCAAATACAGTATCCACGTAATCTTATACAACCTGCAAATCGTAATTCCACCAACCTGAAGCATTTTAGCATCCAATATCCTGTGTCAGCTACAGAGCTTTGGAAAGTTTTATTTTTAAGAAGAGTCATCTGCTTCTTTCTTTGTAAAGAAATGAGTATGGGTGAGAGCATTAAAAATGCAGTTTTCCATTATGTTTGCCACAGGCAATATCTCTCAATTTGTGCAAGTCAGAAGAAAAAATAGCCTAATAGTTGTTAGAAGAGCTCAGCCTTTCCCCTGTAGGTTTTTCATGTGATTTACCATACAACACAAATGTATGTAAA